AAATATTCGGCATTAAGGTCAAGCTTATTATAGCTTACAACTTTAATATAAATAAGCAGACTAAAATAATAAACTAGTATATCAAGCAGCGATTGCGCTTTTTCTGCACTTATTATTAAGACAACTAAAGCTACTTAATACTTCTTATAAATATAGCTTAGTTAACTTTGCTATATGAATCTCTTAAAAGAATTATTTTATTTTAAATAGCTAATAGCTACGAATCTCGCTCTTTTTTCGACTTAGTCAACTTTGAACCTCTTTCTTTTGCTATAAAACGCTTTAACCGCGCGGAAGCAGTGCACGTCGCTATTAAAGCGTATAACGCTATTGCTTTTGCTTAATCGTCAATTGCAGTTTAGCAAAAGAAAATGAAACGCTTTGCAAACCTTCGATAGCGACTCGTAGATTAAATCGTAAAAGACGAAGTGTAGATTAATACTCGCAATTAAAAAATAGATCGGCTTTTTAAAAAGCTTTTTAATAAATAGTATAAGCTAGTCAAAGTGCTTGCTAAAGTAAGAGAAAGTTAAAAGGTTTAATTACTTAAAAGTTAAAAAATACACTTTGTTTTTCACTTTTACTTTTTACGCAAGTACATTAGAAACCTTTTGTTAAGTTAAGTCCGTGAGCCTCTTGCACTTATTCAGCTCTTTTTTAAACAAAATGAATAAGAAATTAAAGAAATCTTTAGTTTTAAAGTCTCTCGCAACACTTTATACTATTAAATCAAATAGACTAGCGCTAATAACGACTTTAATTAATACTTTTGCTCCGACGCTATGACTGGCCTTTATATGCTCCGTCGCTTTTACTTAGCTCACCTTTACGCTAAAGGACCGCTACGTGCTTTACCGCTTTAGTTGCAAGCTTATAACGAAGGTAAAGACGACTATAGCGAATTGGAAGACGACCGACTTATGATTGTGATGTGCAAAAGCAGACCTGCAATGCACATTGCAGTAACCAGTCTTATAACCTTATATTCCCGCACGACACACCCCCCAGAGCTGGCCGGTTGACTCACCGACTGCTCTGTAAACCACGTTGCGGTTAATAGCATCTCTACCACTTATCGAAAATGGATTTTTGGTCAGCGATTTTATTTGCTTAAATGCGGCATCGCAGCCTGACTACTTATTGAGTCACCATGTCTCATCGATAAGAATGCCCCGCAGCTAACGATGGCGGGGTGGCATCGGGTTTTCGGCTAAGAAAACTTTGTTCTGCGCTCAGCATAGCTCAATGACAGCCAGCTTGATCGATCGACCAACTGAACCATCGGAGCAAATGTGGCTCTTAACTGATGTGCAAAAGCAGACCTGCAATGCACATTGCAGTAACCAGTCTTATAACCCTATATTCCCGCACGACAGATTGCAACTGCGAAGACGCAGTTTTTCGAAAGGGGAAGGTAGTGTTACGGTCTTAGCAGGCCTTTAGCGTAGTTGAAGGATTAAGGATCGATTAAGGGATCGATTAGTTAGCGGCCCGCTGCTCTCTACGCTAGCGGCCGCCTTAGGTATAAGACTTCTCCGCCCTCTTGTATTTTAACACTTCTCTTCTTCGTCTTTTTTTCTCGATACGAAGCGTACGATTAGATAGTATTACAATACTATCTCTTTTTAGCCGTAGCAAATAGCGTTAAAATAACTTGCAGAATCCGCTTTCGATTAATTCGGAGATTATTAAAGACTAACTGAATAGCTCGTAAATGCGAATGTAGCTCTTAATTATAATGCTTACTAGCATTAAGATCAAAAGGAGATTCTGTAGATTGAATGAAGCTTAGTATATTTTATTTAAGAAGCTCGTTAAAATCTATGTATATATACTTAGGAGCTTTAGTATGCTAAAGGCGCTATTAGGCGAGGTTATATAACATGTTATATATAGCTTGGGTGGAACTATGCCTGTTCCGCACAACAAAGCGCTATAGCACTCGCTAAGAACTCTTATCTTATAAAACGATTAAAGCATATCGATATCGCTTATTATTACGTTCGCGATTTAATAGATTAAAAAAGATCTTCCGTATCTTATATACTTATAGCAAAGATAGCTGCCGACAGCTTCTTTAAACTATTGCCGAAAGTTTTGTTTTAAAGATTCGTTAAGATGATAAGTATAATTGATCGATCGAAGCTAGTATCAAACTCTTAAATACGTAAAGAACTTCATTTAACTTCTTCGTATATCGAAAAAAGAGATTTATTTTCTCGACAAAACAAAGAAGCAGTAAAAGCTGTTAGCAGCATTAGAGTAAGAGTGTTAAAATAAGAAATTCTTACTTTATAAGGTCTGTGCTATTGCTGCTAAGCAACTTTAAAAGAGATAGATAGTGACTGCTAGTTGAAAGAATGAATAGCTGGCTAGCGTAGAAGGAGAACTGTATACAATTCTCTTCGTTAGAAAAGACCTTCTTTCTCTTTTAAATAACCGAAATAATATAATTGTAACCACCTTTTGCTTCTCTATCATAAGGAAGAATTATCTTCTTACACTTTTGAATATAAAGTGAAGAAGGGAAACAAGAAGCTTAAAGAGCTTAAGAAGGTCTATATATGTGACGACACATCAGGTCCCCGTATCCTCATATGCGCCAAGCTACCTCCCTCTTTTTTTCCTTCGTATTCTTCGTATTCTCTCATTCCCTTCTTTTAACCCATGAACCATGGTTTACGAGTCCTTGGCGCTTCTATCTTCGTGTATATAGACCTCAGCTACCTTCGACCTTTATACTCGGTAGTTGTTGATTCTAAGTCATTACTTTAAGATTCTCTTAAGCTCTTATATGAACCCCCGCGCTCCCGTAAGTTCCTTCAGGTAATCGCTTAAGGTCGTCACAATATACATGGCCATAAGCGCTAGGCCTGAATGGGTGGTCAGTTGACTGCAGGTAGCAAGGCAGGCTGTCATACCAGGATCAAGACCTTGTATTCCTGTAAGGTATTACTTTCGCGCATAATAATGACGAAGGCAAAGATGATTATACCGAGCTGAAGGACGACCGATATATGTTCGCAACTGCGAGGACGCAATTCTTCGGAAAGAGGAGGTAGTATTACGGTCCTAACAAAGGTTAGTTAATTGAGATTAGATTAATCAGCCGAGGTCATATGATATCCCGCCTTGAGGAATGCATATACTCTCGGCTTTATATTCTAATTCTCTTCCTTTCTTCGTCTTTCTTTCAAAGGGCGCATGCGACAGTAGCCCTCGCTACAACACTTTGAATTGCTTTCTGGGGCCTTCTTGTATGTAACTCCTTAGCTTAGCACGTCGCCGTACCCCATGGGAGGTCCCAGGGCGGCAGGCTTCGCCTGCTACCCGCCCGACGTAAATAAATACAACAACAACAACATTCGTCTTTCTTTCATACTACGTAGCGTACAGATTAATAGCTACTACAATACTACCCTTTCTCAGCCGTAATATAATACAAGATGAAGTAATTGAAATGGGATACTTGCTTATCTTGATTTTAGCGAGAGCCCGCAGGTAAAAGTCGGCGCACTGACTATTACCTTCTTATTGTCACCAACGGTGACCCAAGATAAATTCCAGTAGTTGTGGTGGTGATTAGTCATCCAATCACGTGAGATTTTCTATACGGATTTAAAAAATTTGTGAGCGTGCCAAGACTTTTATTCCATGTCAATCTATTGAACTTTTTCCGGAAAAATTAAAGAAAGAAGGGGGATTAAAGTAATTCCGCCGGCACCGGGATTTTTTTTTTCCGTAATATG